AGTATTTTAAATCTCTTTTTTTATTTCTTTTTCAGAAAACTAAAATTAACAAAAATATTTTCTTTTGTGTTTAGTTTTATTTCTTTTCTTTTTCACAAAAATTCAAAATACCAAAAATATATAATAGCGAAGCTTATAACAATCTGTATCTAGAGTAACTTTAATTCGCTTGATGGGGCAAGTATAAATTTATTTATATATGTATTAGCTAAGTGTCCCTAGAAGAATGTTTTTGTATATTGTCTAAAGCCTTAACGACTCTATGTGAAGCCTTACTGATTCGATATATACAAATCGTTTCTTCCCAATTAGGCTGCTACATTCACATTAGTCATGTCATACCCCAAAATCGAGAACGGCGGAAACGTTCTGGGGCGGAGGACGTCATGTATAGTATCACAACACAGTAATAGTAAAGAAGCAAACAAACATCATCCATTGCATTAAATATATAATTTTAATACATGTGTGTTCTGTGTAATGTAATAGGCATTAAAAATGAATGATAAAAGATGAGTCTTGTCTATGCTCCGTCTTCTCAAAAACCTGTCACCGGTACCTGTCTACTGATGACCTGGGAATACAAGTTATTTTGAAAACATAGATGAGCATTTAAGCTGGTGAATTCATAAGTACTTTAATGTCTTTGATTTGTAAATCCATAAGGAAAATACTTGTAAATGTTTGATGATACAGTTCGTATAAGTGTGAAAACCATAGGAAATCTTATATTTCCTACTAGTGTAAAATGTAGTCTTCTACCAAGACCCGACTGTTTTGTATGCTTGTCTCTTGTAAAAGTGTGTAATTTTCCCATGTGTAACTATTATTATCAAAATATAGTCTACTTCATCGTTTATGTGAATGTGTCACAAAGTAAAAGTAAAAGGGAAACATTATATAAACATGTAAGTATTATCCTTTGGTACTAGGATAAACACGACAGAGTAACTTGCCGAATAGTATTAACCATAGACATCCGTCGATGTGTATTCCCCTCTGTAGCTAACACCTAGGTGTAGAATGGTTAGTCCCGTACTTATATAACAGTATCTACTCATATAATATGTAATAGTAACTCATCATATAGTATGTAATTGTATCTCTTCCTATAGTATGTAATAGTTTCTCTTCATATAGTATGTAATACAATTGTATAGACTCATGAATGAACTGACTCTTGTATGTTCCCTTTGTACTAGGAATAGTAGGTAGTATTTCCCCAACCTATACTTATTATAGTTTTCTAGTAATGTAGTTTGAAGTGTCCATGTAAGTCTATACACCTTTGCCCTACAAGGTGTTGGAGCTGAAATCACAGCCATCCTATTCAAATACATACATATATATATATATATATATATATATATATATATATATATATATATATACTTACTATATAAGTGTATAGATATGGTTTCTATGAATAGATAAGTGAAAATAGGTTTTGTAATCAATTTAAAGGGGTTGAAACAATAAAATAATCATGACTTGATGTCAGTTTGTAAAGAGATTCAAAAGTAGTTTGTTTGATAAAACGTTTTGAAAGTATAGTAAATCCATCTGTTTGGTAGTTATTAATCACATGTGATTGATATAATAACTATGATATTCAATTTGTATCCCCCCCCCCCAATAAAAGTATTTAAAAGCATTTAAAAGGTTATTTAAGGGGTGTGAACTCACCTGAAATGAGTGATGCGATAGTAGGATCGGTAAAGGATGCTAAGTGTCAAGAGAGGACTTGGGCACACAATGATCCTAGTTAACAAATAATAAAACATATATGTATCTAATTAGTTAATTAACAACTATTTAATCAAGTTAAAACACCCTAGTACATGGAAACACTTTGATTCACTATAGGTACTAACGGGTTGCATCTAAAGGGTTGTATGGCATGGCATTGGAGTTTATGGCCCAAGGACCACTCCTTATGGAGTTTACATCCCATAACCATTTCCCCATGATTTTATGGCCATAAGCTCATGGTACTAAGTGCCATTTTGTGTTTTGAGGTCTTATAAGTCATGATTGCACATCAAATGATCAAGTCCAAGCCTTAGGAAAGCATTAGGGGCACATTAAGACCATCTTGTGGAGTTTACGGCCAAAGGACCATATTCTTATGTGTTCACGACCGTAAAATTTCATGGGTACTATTTTTTATTGTTGTTTAAGGTCTTAAACACTTCTAGGAAGGATCAAGGTTCGCATCCAAGGCTTAGGAAGGGTTTAAGGTCCATTTAACCACCTTAAGAGGGGTTTACGGCCCAAGAACATCCTTGGCTGTAAACGCCCTTGTTATTATGATTCTTGATGATTTTCAAGTGTTATCAAGTTCATATTAAGCACACAAGAAGCTAGGGTAAGTGTACTTACAAGATAGAAGCTTGTTTAGGAGTTTATGGTCCAAGAACACTAGTGTGTGTTCTTGGTGTTTTGAAGAACACTTGAAGATCTAGTTAAAAGAAATAATGAATGGATGAAATTATGTATAACAACTAGATGTTAGGTTATAACAACAAATCAATTCGAGAAACACTTACGTTTTCAGAAGATCGGGTGAAGAACAGTATGCTAGTTGAGAGAGAATGGGGAGTAAACTAGAGGGTGGAAGTGGGAAATGAGCCAATTAGGGAGTAAACTCATGTCTAAGACATGAGTTCAAGGCCAAGATAGAGTTCACGGCCCAAACTCCCTTTGTTTGGCTGTGAACACCTAGCTAAGGTGTTGGTTGTTCCATTGTTATCCTGATATTCCATAAATCAGTTCCTTTTATCCGTTCGATTCATGAATAGTTAACATAACTACTCAAACGGACTTTAAACTGGCTAAAAATTAGCAGAAATGTAATTGACTTTTAATTGAAGTGATTGACTTTAGAGTTTGTACGAATCAAAATTTCGGGTTGTCACAAGTCATGAGCTACCTTACTCTTCTCACATTGAGTAAAGAGTTATCTGCATGGTCACTTTCGCATTGTAGAGGTACTTTCGTTTCGTAAACCACCTCAACACTTTTCTTCATCAACTTCATTTCATAAATGTGACCCTAGAGACTCTCATCATTTACTACTGAGGTTTATGGTCACACAACATCTGCGTTGATGATCTTAGTTTTGTTTACCACGTGCTAAGTGAGACCCAAAATCCAACACCATAATGAATTGACGGTGAATCATTAAAAGTTCTAGCTTTTCACCCATGATTTAACGAAAGCCATTATGGTCTATTCCATGAAATCTCTTTTATTTTTGCGAGATCTTTATGGAATGATCTAACACTAAGACATTTTTTTCCCACAAAATTTAGTTTTGTTTTTGTTTTGAGATTTCTATAATTTTACCAAGTCACTAAAAAATTATCAAACCTACTTGTTTTCATAGGCTACACTGGCCACACAAGTACTTCATCCAACTTTCGTTCTTATATCAAGTTCGTAGTTTGGTTGAAGCGAAAGCCACCCTTAAAGCTGTAACTAAAAGATGCCTTTCAATGTTTCTTAACAAACATTTGAGCGTACTTTAACAGGAAACCACACAGACATTTGTCAGTCTTTCTTGACTTTGAAAGAAGAGATTCGTGCCCGGGATCCACAGTTTCATGTCTCTAGTGACATCACTTAAATCCCATAGATATAACTTGTTTTTCTTTTTTTTTTCTTTGGCACACCCTTGCACGAAAATCCATTGATTTTCCAAAAGTCTTGTTCGTGGTAATTATGGCTCTTTCGTTTTAACAGGATCTTATAATGTCTCGCTTCCACATGGGCTTATTCAGGAGAACGAAGCTTTGTTTATTTACTTGCAATATGAAGCGTTAAAGGATAATATGAAGACATGGGGAATGGATAGGATTTCTAACAAAGGCGCGTGAATTTAAAATGTCACCATTTGTCATGCTGCCTGACACACTTTTCGGGGAAACAGTTGTCATATCACGCCTTTTTCGGAATTGTTTATGAGACGTTTATCCGATTGGCGATTCGATTCTCACTCTTGGGCAATTGTATAAAAGAGTTATCGATTCTTATGTTAATCTTTACCACTTTCAAAACTATCAAGAACCCTAAAAGGCAAATTCTCTCTTACTGTTCATCTTCTCCAAGCACCTGCAACTAAGGCCGACTCTTCATCTGTTCAAGATCAAACCGCTCAATCCTCTTTTCTCTCAATCAAGCCAAATAAAAATCTAATCTTGGATCTTGCACCATTCAAATACGATTCCTACATGTTGCCTATAGTGGAATGTCTCAAGTACTCACCGTTGGTCACTACCCTAACCACGGTCAAGTTGGTTCCAATGTCAATGCTTTCCAACGCTTATTCCATTGCAATGTACCAGAAAGAAGCGGAGAAGATCATCTTCAAGATCTTTGACAAGAAAGCTTCGACTTCAAAAGCTTGATTTTGCTCACTGCTACAGCTAACTTACAATGAATCCATGGTCAACCCAGAGTCAATCTCTATTGTCCAAATCTTTGAGATGTTCTATCACATGGGGTATGTCAACATTCTCACCATGATCACAAAGTTCAAGAAATCTTCTCTCCTACCACAATGGAATGGTTTGTTCACTCTCATCTTCAAAGCCTTTTTTGAGAGAGTTTATGGGTCGAATTGTGCCAGCAAACTGTTTATGACAATCCTTTATGGCCTCTACCATGGGATTAATCTTGACTAAAGCTCAATATTGTGGGCTCAGTTGGTACAGAGGATGAACTCTTCTTCAAGGCATAGTGAAATTTCTTGTGGTCGTTTTTGGAACATAGTGGTGCAAAGGGCATTTGAAAAGTTTAATTTTCCAGTCATGGAGGATTCGTTGAAGGCCTCTATCTCCATATTGCACACAATGAAGATCATCATCTCAAACAACTCCAAATTTTCCTTTATAGGATCGATTCCTGAATCCAAGTTTTGAAGCGTGTTTGGGGCAAGTACTATTTTTAAGTCCTGCAAGACGAAACCAATTTCTGGTCCAAGAGAAATAACTCCTAAGATGAAAAAGTATTTGAACAATGTTGATAAACCCAAAAAAGGAGGAAAGAAGGGAGATAAGAAGAAAGGGGTTTCTGAAGGTCCATCAACACAAGTTTCCACCCCCAACAAGCAAAAGACCCAAGGTGCAGCTACTTCCGCTCCAAAGAAGCAAAAGTTAAGAAAGATGACTCTTCATCCTAGCTCCTCTTCCACAAGCAATTTTGAGTACGTTCTTATAGGTTCCACTATTAAAGAATCGAGCAAAAGCGAAGACTCCCAATCTGAGGATTCGCTCTGTGGTAATTCACCTCCACCATCACCAATCAAAGAGGTAAATCTTAATGATAAGATTCCAACTCCACCTCCTTCTCACACTCACACCTCCATTGCCATTATTATTGCACCTTCTCCACCTCCTGTATCTACTCAACCCATCCCAACTTTATCTCAACCACCACTTGCTACTGTTATTTCTCAAACAGTCACCACTGGCCCTCTACCCGTTTCATCTCAACCACAACCAACTATTCCCATTTCCACCCCTATCTTCATTGATTCAACCATCGTTCCTACTATCTCTATCCAACCTTTTGTTTCTATCAACATATATGATACGGAGGCTGAACCTTTAGGTTTTTTAACTCATGTTTCACCTCCTATTTCCTCTATTAACCATGATGATCCAGACATGGTCTTTTGTGATGACGAAGACAAAGATATTGAAGGTTTTAATTATAGTCCCTTCCAAATTAGGACTGAGAAAGATGATGTTGAACACATAACAACAGGGCAACTTCAATCTCTACATGAAAAGATTGACCAATTGCTTCAATCTACTAAAGCCTCATCTACTGACGATTATGCCAAAGCAGCTGTAGAGTCTCTTTTTGAGCGAATCATGAAACAACATAATGCTTCTGTTGACACCTCGAATAAAGTCGTTGCTAATTTTGCTGAGGTTTGCATGTCTACGACCGAGAAAGTCGATAAACTAATTGAGAAGACCACTTCCTTCATGGAAAACTTCCAAACCACCTATAATTCCAACACTACATCCGCTAATGAAGCATTGAAGATTTTGGGATCTCTCTTCAAGACTGAAAAGACAAAACTCCAAGAGCTTCGGTCTGGTCTTAAAACTGACCATGAATCCTTTCAAGCCACTCTTTCATCTTAGCTTTCTCATCTTAAAGACGAACTTGTGAAGTAAAGCTCTCTTAAGGATTCTCTCGCTCTTAAAACCGATGAAGCCAAGGTGTTAAGCACCAAACTTGAAGCTTTGGAGAAACAGGTCAATGATCAGTTATCTAAGAGGGCATTCATGCGAAGTTGTATCTCTGATGTTACTTGCATGCTCTCAGATATCATTGAGACTAGGGACTCAATGATCACCATCACTATGCATAAGCATCTGCAAGAGAATTTAAGGCCTATCTTTTCCATGCTTCATCGCCTTGAAGGTGTTTCTGATCAAGCCATTAATCTGAACCAAGTGGGAGAAAGCATGACTGGTGGTGGATCATGAAAGGTAGAACCAAAAGTGCCTAAAGTTCCTATCAAGCTGGAAGAATGACAAGGAAACTCTATTTCATGATGAACCAATCATTGACAATGATAGCGAAAAAGAAATTACTGCAGAAGAACTGAAAAGGTGAAAACTTCGTGAAGCTGAAATGGATGAACATCAGTGAATCATCCGTGAAGCTGAAGAAAAAGAAAGGACTGAGAAAGAAGCACAGGCTACTTTACAAAGTAAAAAGCTATTGTTTCCTAAGTGGACTCTCCAGTGTGATGTTGTTGATCTTCGAGCTTCAGAACACACGATACTCCCAACTTGATATGCCCATCACTCCAAAAGCTTTCCGTTTTTGTGCTTCCGTTAAAGTATCGCATGCTCCAATCACAGACAGTGGAGTTGATCATATGCTTTTCTCATTATATCTTAAGCATATGAATCTCCAATATGAAACTTGGTCATTAAGCAAGATTACAGGTGTGAAAGTCACAGGGGCAATTGAGACTGATAGCTTTCCAAACGCCAAGTTTAAAGTAGCGAGAGGTTCAACCAATCAATGCTTCGAGTTTACTCTAGCAGATCTTCCATACCTCAACCCAAACGATTGGTTCACTCTTTACAACATGTTGAAGAAGAACAAGGAAAAGTACCTGTCATGTTTCATCTTAAGCTTATGATACAGTCCTACATCCAGGAGATTGGTAAGATGGATGTTGAAGTTGTTGCGATCCTGCGAAAGAGACCTTCGGCTTTTCTTAAGGAAAATCCCAAGGATTTTGAAAAATTGAAGTCAGGGAAACTCTACAGTGGATATTGGTTCGTGGTTTATTCTGCTAGAGAACAATCTAGAGCAGATTTCCATAAAGGTTGCTTCTATCTTTCAGATAAGCATCTCTACACCACAACCTTTCTTGAGTTTATTTTGGAGCAAGTGAGTAAGTTCAGAGGCAACAAGAAAGATGATATCAAGTGCTTCTCTAATATGGTTCTTTGGTATATTGAAGTTCGTCGAGCAATTTATGCCATGATACCGAAGGTGTATGAAGTACATAAATGAACCCAATGTTGAAGGGTTCGGCCCTCAATTGACAAAAAGGGGGAGATTGTTGAGTATATTAGATTGCATCATTCGGCTATTTTTTTATGTCCATTATGTTCATGGTATGGGCATGTCGTTCGTATTTATGATTAGGGTTATAGTATAAATAGTGCATGCATGCAACCTTTGTAGACAACGTTGAATTGATCTTTTCATTGTAACCCTAGCACACCTCTACAGTAGCAATTCTTAATAGAGTTCTTCTGAGGTTGTGGTTTTAATCATTCAACATCTTTGATCCATATTGTGTTCTTGTTTTTTACATCATGCAATACCTTACTTGTTAGAATCTAATCTATACAAAAGGATTTTATTCATAACAATTTGCGGTCAGAAGAAGCTTTTACGGTTGAAGAAGCGTTTACTACCCAAAATCTCTTTTGCGGTCCGATGCTCGTTTACGACCGAGGAGAGTTTACGGTCCGGAGTTCGCGCATGTGTTCGGTCTAGCCTCGTTTGCGTCCAGTCCTCGTTTACGAGTCCCTCGGGTCTTCGGCCCAGCAAGAGTTCAGCCCATGTGTGCAATCCTCACGTGTGCAGCAAATAATCAAAAGGTTTTTGGGGGTTGCAAGGCTCGAACTCATGACCTCCCGCATCATCAACCCCCGCCTTACTAACTCATCTAGCTTGCAAGATGTTATTTTCCTACCCGATTTAATTCATATGGACTCGCAACTTTAACCTTAATTTCGCAATTTTGACAATTTCAACCAAAAATTCAACTTTTTTAAATTTTAAAATTCCATTTTCAACCCAAAGTTTTTGACTTTCTATTTTTTGACTATCTAAATTGGCTTTTGACCTTAAAAAATTGACTTTGACTTTCAAGTTTGACCGTTGACTTTAAACTTTGACTTTCTCGTTCAACCTTTAAATTTACACTTTAGTTTTTTGGTTTGACTTTTAAGTTTGACTTTTAGGTTTGATTTTTTAAACTTGACTTTTGAGGTTTTTAGTCAAATGGATATTTTTTTTAAAACAAATGAGTTCTGCAAACATCCCGATCAATGAAGTTTCATGTTCTAAATCTTGTGAAACTACCATCAAATTTTTCCGAGATCAAATCGATTTATTAAAAAGAGAAAATGAGGACCTTAAATACGAAGGCTATACACTTTGGACACGTCAAAAACCCTTAAAAGAACAACTAGAGGCCAAAACTAAGGAATTTAGAAAATTTCAAGAGGAATATAGCAATAAATGTGAAAACTATGATTATGTTAAGGGACAACTTGCCGAATTAACTGTCGAACTTGATGCATTGAAAGCTAAATATAACGATGTTGAATTCAACTTTAAGAAATTCGATGTATCAAGTGAGGTAGTTTTGTCCATGATTGAAATGCAGTTAAAATTCAAAGATAACCAATCGAAGGGTCTAGGGTATAATAGTGTACCACTTCCTTTCAATGACAACTATAACCCACCCCCTTGAGACCAATGATGAAGAAATTCCTGCTCAGTTTCACCCACTCCCTGAACAAGTTTCCGTTAATACTAAACAATCTGGGCCAACTGAGAATATTAAGGTGAACGTCTTTGATGATTCTACTTTATGTGCAGGTAAAGTAGTGGAAGATGAGAACAAGGAGAACACTATTAAACAATAAATGACTCCTTGAACTCTGAATATGTTGCTTCTAACTCAGTTACTTCTGACAAACCTGTTGTTGGTAAATACAGGCCACCAAAACAAGCAAATCAGAGTGTCTGCTGCAATTGTGCTTGTGGGAACAATCAGAGACAAGGCAACGGCACGCCACCAGGGGCAAGAAGAAACAACTGCTACGTGAAGAAAAAGACATGTTTTCACTGTGGAACACATGGACACATAGCCAAAATTTTTCCAATCATGCATATGTTCCTAACTACGCACAAGGATGGAAAAATGTGCCAAGATGTAGATACCCCAAAAGAAGCTCTTCAAGGTCACAATCGTGAAATGGTGATTGGAGCACGACAAAGGCTAAGAATCAAACTCCCAACAACAAGAAAGGAATGTCAGCCAAGAAGCCAAATTCAGGAGATGCTCCTGTGAAACCAAGATTGATCAAGTCAAATTCATCTTGGCAGCCGACTTCTAGTTCAAAAGCAAGTGATAAGGCATCCATTCGATCGAACAAGAAATGGGTTAAACCAGACTACAGATGGTTTCCGAAGGTTCATTCTCCTAAATCTTCTAAAGATTCTTATATTCCTTCATCTTTTGTTTGTCATAACCAGGACATGTCATGGGAGAGAGTACCTTGCATAGACGGTAATGGTCAATCCAATTTCAAAATGGACTGGGTTCCAAAGATCAACTGATCCTGATCTATGTTGGAGCAGCTATGGAGACATATCATCAGACTTCGGTTTGTTGATAGTGGCAGTTTCTGGCACTTGATAAGAGGCATCTCCCAACTGTACAACATTCAGAACTTTGTTTGGGAGTATATTTCCTCTGCAGGAAGGGAAGAAAGGAAAGGATCACACGTGGGGTTTATGCTTAATGATGTGAAGAATTTTTGGATATGTTCCGAGATTGAAACACAACTAAGGTTGAATGCGTTGTTGATTGCGTCTTCTGTTGCTGACTTTCAGTTTGAATTCTTTCGATACTCCTGAGTTTTTCTGAAAATGATTCATTTCAAATACAAATTTCTTTTAATTTTGCACATTTTTTTCAATTTCTTCTGTATGCTTAATTTATGCGGAGAAATAAAAATACAAAAAATATATAAAATAAAGGAAAATTACAAAAATATGTTTTTCTTTGGTAGGTATTATTTGGGAAGTGATATGAGATTTAGTGATAAATGGCAAGTTATGCTTGAAAACTTTGATCCCAAAAGCATGTTGTGTTTTTCTTTTGTTTTTGATTAAATTTGTTCATATTTTCTTATATGCACAAATTTAGGGGGAGAATTAAAAACAAAAACAAAAATTTTTAAAATTTTAAAAATACAAAAATATTTTCATTTATGTTTTTATTTCTTTTTTATAATAATAAAAAAAATCCAAAAATAGTGTTTCTGAGCGTATTTTACTTTTATTTTTATTTCTTAGTGTGCTAATTTTACTTTTATTTTTTATGATTGTCTCAAAAAATTTCATTTGTCTTGAAAAGTGAATTCAGGAGAAGATAAATCTCAAGGAGTATGTATCGAAATATTCTGAGCATGCAGAAGAAACCTGAAAGTGGAAAGGAATTGACGGTCATTACACTTAACACAACTTTCACAAGGAATTGACGGAAAATTCATATGCGAGTGATAGACTCTTTCATACTGAGACATATATCAGTCTTAATAGGAGCCTTTGCATCAAATATTAATGATCAAAGGTCATTTTCACCATGACCAATGTGAAACACCCAACCATTCTTCACCCATATCCAAAATTTTCTCCATCAAATCACTTCCACATACCGGTACCCCTTAAGGTTCGAGTATAAAACAACTCGGATGACGGTTGCCAAAAAGTATGTTTTCATGATCTTAGATGTCATTATCACCATGACTCTAAGTGAAACCCAAAAATTCAACTCCATTTATTTCTGAATTGACGGTGAACATTTTATATGTTCTAGATTTCACCCATGAATTAACGGATAATGGCTCATACCTAGTGTGACATTGTATAAAATACCAGTCAGGTATTTTCTTATTTAAGAACTATCGTATCTAAGGAATTGAAAGTCTGAAATTATACAGATTGTCAAATTGGTCTTGTCAGCTTTCTTTACATAAGAACTGTCATGGCACCAGGGCGATTCACCCAATAGGGAAACAAGTATCACTGAAAGTCTCGCCAAGGGCCAAGTTAACTCGTTAACTTCATAACTGTATTGAGATATATGATGAAGGATATACAGGGGCTAACATCAAAACTAGCCATGAGTAGTTCTGTCACGCCCCCAAACCAAAACGGCGGAAGCATTCAGGGCGGAGGACGTCATATGTAGTATCACAACAATTGAATAATAGTAATCAAAGCAACAACAACCATTGAATTAATAGTATAGTGTTTACATTTCATTTGAATTATACATGTATGACACCAAAAATAAATAACAAATAACGACTCAAAGCTACTATGCTCCATCTTCTTGAATCCATTGCCTGTACCTGTCTACTAGCGTCCTGAGAATACAAGTGAGTTTTGAAAAAGTATCAGCATAAAGCTGGTGAGTTCATAAGCATTTTTTTAGAAAAACTATTATTTGTTCTTACGGAAAGTACGTTATGTTTCTCCAGAAAAACCTTACATTTTCTGATATGGTAAATGTTAACTAAAAACGATTTCTACTAGTTTTTCCTGCGAGTACTTAATGTATACAAATAATATGCAATCCAAATCAAACAAACAGTCGATTGTGTGGTTCTGCCACAAGCCCACAACCAAACAAGGAACATGAAAAGAGTCGGAGGCCACATATTCCACTGGTTATCAGGTTCTCCTGTACAAAATCTTGAAGTATTCACTAGTTACTTACAAAGTTAACCGTATTGATCCTTTGATATATGTTGTTATTGTTCCTCAAGAAAATACAATATTTTCTTTTGAAAAGTATGATAAACCAATTCCTTCTATGAT